GAGGCTGATACAGGGCAGTTACAGAAAGTAAAAACCTTGGAGGTTTATCAGTTGCTACTAGTTTCTAGATGGTGAGTCATGTACCTCATACTTACTAAATGCCAACCCTGCGTCCACACTTTCACTGGTGCAGTCCATTTAGGGGCAGCCTAAAATCAGCCAGCTTCAAAGTTACAGTGGAGCAAAACCAAGGGTCTGAGAAAGTTCTTCCTTTGCTTCTCCCTGGGCTGTTATTGCTCTTGGAATTCCTCTTTCCCTTCCATCCACATTCCTTTCTTCTTTTACTAACCTGGAGAGCTTAATGAAGTCATTATATGGCTTTTAAAGAGATGAAACACAACAAAGAAACAAACCAGTGGAAGCAAGTTTCTGTTATGGATAACAGCCCCTAAGCAGGGCTTCCCAGGACCCGTGTCACCTGTGACGTGTTTTACGACTCTGGATTTTCCTTCTCTTTATTCTGAGAAACTGCCCTTGACAGAGTTTGTTTCATCCGTGTGGATGTGTCTGTGCACTTGGCGATGGTTCTGAGCGTCTGACTTGGGTCCTTGGGTGGTAAGGTCTGAACCAAGTGATTGAGCAGCGAGGTTCTGAGTTTCATTTTCAACATGTTCAGCTGGACACTCACATGGGACTTTCATAAAGGTGTAGGGAATACTGGTGTGGACTGGTTAGTCTAGAAACAGGGGTGTGCAAGTCATCAGTTTTGCTAGCCTCTGGGGCCTGGGTAGCACCCACATTGCCCTCCCCAAAGTCACTCTGGGGTTGGTCTTTGTTATCTCTTGGAGCCCAACCCAAGGTTCTTCCAGAATCTTTGGGTCTCTCAGGGAAGGGAGTGAGGTCTGGGTACAGGATGTGGTTCCTTGGCAAATCTCTATCCTTGCCTTCAGGGCTGGGATGGCTCAGTTCTTTTCCATACTTCAGCTTTTGTTTTAATTTCTAGACTCTCCTCATGGACCCAGACTCACAGAGGAGCATCTGGATTGAGACTGAATGTCAGGAGGTTATCTGGATCAGCAGCTAAGAGGTTTCTCCGGGGGTTGAGGTCGAGGAGGCTTCTGGCCTCTAACAGAGTCTGGCCAGCTGAGTTGGGTGAGTGTGTGTATGTGTGTGTGCGCGCGCGTGCTTGTGTGTGCGAGTGTGTGTGTGGTGTGTGTGTGTGTGCATGTTTCCCCATACAGTGTTTTTCAAAAGTGGAAGTAATTACCAATTAATGTAGAATCGAGAGATTTCACACAAAATCAGGATTTCTAGTTTCTTGGGGAGGGGGAGGAACAAAGCCAAACAAAGAAAACCATAGAATATCTGATGATCTGGGCCTAAGTTCCTTTTTATCAACAGGAGCCTGAGCCTGAATGTGCTTCAGGTGGCAGGTCCACTCTCCGTGGGGTGTCCCCCTTTCCTGTCTTCCTGCCCTTGTAGGCATTTGAGCTGGAGACCCTCAGGCTCATCTCATTAGTGTGACATCCTTTGCTTCAAGCTACTGAAGTCAGCCCTGAGTGTGGTCAGCAGAGGACGTCAGAGGGAGAAGATGAGGGAGGGGCGGGTGAGATATTGTGCTCCATTGGCTCCCAAGAGTGGAGCCTGCAGATGTTGGTTAGGTTGGCTCTGAGGACTTAAGTCAGGGCTCAGGCTTCCTGAGGAGTCCATCAGCTCTGGAGAATTTCTTGAGTCCTGTCTGCTGAACCCTCCAGGGACAGGCATTGCAGAGGTGTTAGAGTCTACCCCTCTCCTTGAGCGCGCGATCCACACGCTGACCCGTTAACCAAACTGGCTTCTGCAGGCCCTCTTGGATAAGACCTGGAGTTGGAGCTAGATCAAAATGTGGTCCTCGAAGTGTCCTTATTTTCCATTCCCAAACAAGCCAGTGGACGTCTCCTGGTAGCCATGCACAGGGATGTCTAGGCTGGCATTGCCGAGTGTCTGAAAGATCACTGAAGCATCACTTTGCCACTCAGCACCTGGCAAAGTGTTCTCCAGTCTGGATAAATTTACTGGTATGAATTATGCCGTGGCTCTGTGCAGTATAAAATTGTTGGAGTCCTAGCAGACTCTTGCTGGCTACTCCTCTGTCTGGAGCACCTTACCATCTGTCTCCATTCAAAGACAGCCTTGAGTGGGGAATGGGGAAGGACTTGGGCAGGAAATTCTTTTTATTTAACCCTAAATCCCTTCAGCTGCAGCTTACGCTCATTTCCTAATCTTGCGTGCTGTGGAGACACAAAAGCAGCAAGTCCTGGTCCTACCTGTCACACGCCTGCTCTGTGAAATCAGCCCCAAAGGTCCCCCCCATGAGGCTTTTAGTTTCTGTGGTACTAACACTGGGTCTGTCCCTTTCTATTAAGAGTCGTGGTTCATGAGACATGCAGCTTTAAAGAATGTACCTAGCAGCATCTTAGACGAGCTTCCTGAAAACACTTACCAAAGGCTGCAGGTCTTCTTGTCTAAAAGACAGGAGGGAGGGTCTGGGCTGAATTTCTAAGAATATTTAAAAGTAAAATAAGGATCCCAGGTGTCGTGTGTCTTGTTGGGACTCCTGGATGGGTGTGTGTGGCTCTCCTGATGCTGGATTGGTGCATCCATTTGTGAACTCACATGTGAGTTACCAATGATCCTATGCTGTGTCCAAGGGTAAATGTAAGGCTGCTATGGTTTGGATAAATCTCCCCAATTCCATGTGTTAAAGTTTTGGGTCTCAGCAGTGGAGATGTTGGGAGGTGGTGGCATCTTTAAAAGATGGTGCCTAATGGAGGTCTTAGGTCACTGGGGGCAAGCCATTGGAGGGAACGGTGGGGTTCCAATCTTTTCCTCCGTTTCTCTTTTGTTTCCTGGTCACCATGAGGTAAGCAGCTTTGTTTCACCATGTGCTCTCACCAGATGAGCTGCCTCACTACAGATCCAAGAGCAAAGGGGCCAATCAGTCATGGACGGAGACTTCCAAAACCATGAGCCAAAGAAAACCTTTTCTCTTTAGAAGTTGAATATTTCAAGCGTTTTGTTATAGTAATGGAAAGTTGACTAACACAAAGACATAGCGGGGAAGAAAAATGAGAGTATATTTATATTGTTCTTCTTTTTCAGATAACAGTGGTAAAAAAAATATTTTTCTGGCCTCAGTGCTTGTGCACTGATTGAATCACTAGTGCCGGGAAGTGTTTGGGTTTCATAGCTCTCACGTTTCACAATGTCTGTTGAAGAGTGGACTTCCCTTATGGGAGCTTTGGAATTGAATTGTAAAGATAAGTTGTTGGTGATTTCACGCATTCATTTTCTTCCTTGGGGCAAACACGCACTGCTTCCCTTTGCAGTTTTTGGATATCTTGCTTTGCTTCTATACACCTTTCGGTCCGTGTGAGATGTTGGATTCCTGGAAATGATTCTGCTGAATTTTCTTGTAGGCAAAGAAGGGCAAAAGAAAATTATAGAAGGGTAGGCACGATCACACATTTAAACTGCCCAGAAGTGGCTGGCATGCCGTCTCTGTAGTCCAGTTTTCTCACCTGGGTTCCTCCATCACAGGGTCACAGGAAGCTCACGTCTGGAGTTGGGAGGGGAGGTTTTGTGGACTTTGGTCTGTGCCCATAGTCTAACACCATGCTTTTGTCTCTTCAGTGGACATCCTTTCTCTAACCCTGCAAAACCCATCAGGTTCATACCCTTCGTTCACGCCTTGAATTTCTCCAGCGGGTTCTCTCAGGAGCTCTCTCCTTAGCCCCTGGTTTTACTTGAGATGCAGCAGGGCTGTCGGGAACAATGACACATATGTTAGAGTTGTCTGTATTTATTCTATTTGGAATTTTCTATTAAATTTAATTTTCAATTAAACCCACATTCTAACCAATGTATGTGCCATCCCTTTATGGGATTTCAGATGAAGTTTTCTTAATATTACTAAACTTAAGGTTTTCTTTTGTTCTCTAGGTTATTTTTTTTCCAGTTTTTAGAGTGCCTGGCATTATTCCCCCCCCACCCCCCCCAGCGTCAGGGTTTATTTGTTGTTGGTGGTTGTTTTTAATTACAACTGCATTCTGGGCCTGGTTGGGATGTGCGGAAGTTTCATCAAGGAGAGGGAAGATGAGCCCTGAAATAGCTCATCTCTGTAGAACTCTTCAGCACACCCCTAAGTATTCTGCCAGGTGATCTTGGTCTTAGGCCTCGACACCAATTCTTCCTTGACCCTGGCATTATTGAATAGCCGTTTTCACATCCAAGTTGGCTGAAAATTTGTTCCACTGTTGCATGAATATTCAGCCCTTATTTACATCACCTTGCTTTACAGTATCAGTTATCTACAGCGAGCTGAGAGGTCTTGTTGGACAAAATGTTTCTTTTCATTTTGGTAAATTTGAAAATCAATATTTGGTTTTAGAACCTCATATCTGAAGGTAAAAAAGTAACGGTGCTTCTCTTAAACGTCTTACTGACAAAATATGGAAGCATTTAAATTCAGTGCCTGCAGATAAAGCCAGAGTTTTACTTCCCTGTCAAGCTGGTGATGGTTTGGTTTGTTTTCTTTGTGGAAAAGAGTTATTTCTGTTATCTCACTTTGAATACAATTGGTATTCTTCCTGATCACAGTATTTGGGTTACTCTTCTCAGAGGTGTTTTAAAGATTGTGCAACGGATCATACTAAACACTAAGAACTTATTTAATGTATGAATGCCTCTGGAGAATTTGTCAAATTGCTGATTGGTTTCTCTTGCTCTGACATGTCAAAGTAATCAAGGCAGAGAATGCCTAGCATTTATTCTAATTCGTTTCACTTTTGGTTTAAATTTACCACCCACAGCTATCCAAAATACAAAGAAAGCTGGGGGGTTTGGTATGTTTGTTTTGAGTCACATTGTAGCAATGTGCAAATACAACTGCACTTAGAGTCTTTGGGATCAGACAGAGGAAAGCCTGTTGACTTTTTTGTTAATGCTATCAGAGAACTTTCAACACAGTTCTTTCCCCAACCTGCCATTACCTTAAGTTGATAGTTGCGCTGTTTGCATAGTTGACCACCCACTGAAGCCAAGGCACGTGAAACTGCTGTCCACTAAGATGGGCCTGAAAGTCACGTGGGACCCACCCAAAGATGCTACCAGTAGACCCGTGGAGCATTACAACATTGCCTATGGAAAGTCACTGAAAAGTCTTACATACATCAAGGTGAATGCGGAGACATACTCCTTCCTTATTGACGACGTGGGTAAGTGACCCTGTGCTCTTGCTGCCAGTCAAAACTAACTGTGTGCCACATCTCAGGATAACTATTTGCAAGACAAAGTATGGCCAGGATCTCTGGGGATGAGAAGCCAAGTGCTGCGACTCTCTCATCAGGAGTCTGGCCTGGGCTGACTTAACTCCTGCTTCCAGGCATCAAGTATTCCTCTCCAAATTAAAATTGCAAATGATTTTTGGTTTATGAATGTGCTTTTGGAAAATGCATTGGTCCTTTTTGTCTTATAGAAATGTGATTACCTGACAATTTGGTAGCCTAATCTGGAAACTTCTAATTTCTAAACCATATTATAATTAGGGATAATTCAAATACAGCTGATTCTTGAACAACATGGGTTCAGACTGTGCAGGTTCACTTACAAGTGGATTTTTTGTTTTGAGATTTGTGACAATTTGAAAAAACTTACAGAAGAAATGAGATCCTAAAAATATAAAAAATTTAGGAAAAAGTTGGGTAAACATCGAATGCACAAATTCAAGTAGATAGTCCACATATCATCTATAACCATAACATACATGAATCCATTGTTAAAATTTGTCAAAACTTAACACATATAAACTGTACATGATGCCCTTTATAGTAAGAGAAATCTAAACAAAGTAAAGGTGCGGTATTAAAGTGTATCTGTAGAAAACTAATTGCAGCACCCACAGTGCTACTGTAATAACACCATGGCCACCTCCTGTTGCTATCACGGTGAACTCAGGTGTGGCCGTGTCCTTTTAGGATGCCACCATGTACCACTCCTCGTTTCCGTGTGAGCAGTTGTCTCCTGTGTAAATTGTGTGTCACAGAAAAAAGTGATCCCTCCAAGTTTTTGCTTATTTTGTCACCATGTGTGGTGCACACAATATATAAATTATGTGCTACTTGACCCTTTCTGTTGTTGATAAGGTTTCTGGTCAACAACAGCTTCTTACTACTAAGTTTGGGGGAGGCAAAGCTTCTATGCAGATTTTTTGACTTCACATGGCTCGGTGCCCTGTCCCCTTGGTTGTTCAAGAGTCAATTGTAACACATGTGGAATGTCATGCTAAGCGAAACCTGGGTAAAGATGTGATCTTTTTACCCACTTAAATTTCATTTTTAATTTGGTCCTGGAGCCTGGGAATATTCTGAGTCTCACTCCATGTGTGTTGTCCTCTAAGTGCAGACGTGGGAGGTCTTAGACTGGGGCTTTGAGCTGCCTCCTCCGCATCCCTCTTTTTTTGACTCCAGTATCTTAAACTCCATTGGCTTCAGCCTCTACCTGAAGCTGGGTCATAAGGGAGTGACGGAGGGTGGCACAGAGATGACCAGGTGTCCCCTGGGCCACGGAAGTGCTGTAATCCTGGGTGGACCACGGTCAGCGTGAGGCTCCTCAGCACCCATCCCTGGCCTCAGCTTGCTGTACTGGTTCCTCCTCCACCTCCTGCACTGGACTATTATGTTTTCTGGGTAGCAGAACAGAGACTGTGTAAGGGAGATGAAGGAGGCCAGAATCCACTCCTCCTGGCTTCAGCTAGGCAGGTATTTCCTCGAATCTCTTCTGCATGGTGTGGCCACCCCCCAATCCAGCTGCGAGGTTAAACGGAGATTCTGTCAGAGTGAAGGCCTGGGCAGGGTCACATCTACTCAAACCTTGAGTTGTTATGATTGCTGCAGAGAAGGAAAACATGTTAAAAGAGAGTGGTAGAACTGGCTAAAAGCCAGTTTCTGATGAGTTAAATGTAGGGATTCAGACACATATGGATTACATTTTTTTGAAATACAAATAAGCTCAGAGTGCAGAAAGTGCCTGGTGGAGCAGGGTTTTGCATTCTGTCAGAACCTGGAGCATTTCCCCACTAGTATGACAGTTCATGCCAAACCCCAAATGCCACCAGGCCCTGCCAGATTCAGACAGAAGTCACACCAGGCTTGAGCAGAGTAGGTGTCCCAGACGGTGTATTCCAGTGGCTGGTGCGGAGCCTCTGGCTGAGAACTGATGAGGTTGTGTTGAGGAAGGCTCCTGGCTATGAGAAGGGCCACGGTCATCACTGCCGTACCCAGAGCTCATGCTTACCTCTCTGACCCTCATCCCCTGTGATGTCCATGAGCTTCCATCTCTTTGGGGAATGGGCCCCTTCACTTATTTTGAGGAAAAGTGAGTGCTATTAGGGTTTTGCTTTTCAAGCTGCAAGTTCTGGGGGCACCTTCTTTGTAACAGGGCATCTAGGTTTCCTGTTGCACCCCAACAACTTCAGTAAGTCAGTCAAAGAGAGGTATTTGACCTTGACCTCAATACAAAAATCAAAAAGTAAAGCCCAATTATTTCAAGTAATCAAGCATTTCCAAGATTCCAAGAAATATATATATATATATATATATATATATATATATATATATATATATATTTTACTAGTGTTTTGTTGAAATGGTGAAAAACAACATGAAGGCAAAGTCTAGGGATCATTTTACTGTGAAAAGGAAAATTTCCCAAAGCTTTATGTAGTGCAACGAAGAGTTCCCATGTGCCATGTTTTATGAGTTATATTGACATTTTCTTTCTTTCTTTCTTTTTTCTTGGAAATTTCAATTTGGAACTTCCAGGGGGAAATATTATTTATAGTTTTTGACAGTGTATTTTCAAATAGCAATAAGTGGACTGTGAGTTCCTATTTCTTTCATTGATCTTAAAGTTAAAATCCCTAAGTGCCCTTTTTATTGACTGCTTATGAATCCAGATTTATTGCACATGCCACGTACTCTGTACTAAATGCAGTTTGTGTTTGGGTCTGGCGTGTCTCAGCTGCGTGAGAAGAATGTTAGTGATTTGAGTAAAAACCATGGAGAAGGCTATCTTAGACTTGTCACTTAATTCAAACCTTTATATTTAGTTATAAAGCAAATAAGGAAGATGATTAGTGAGTCAAACTGTGTGATGCTTGGAGATTTGCAACGGTGGCTTGATATGAACCGTATGTTTCAGAGCCGGGGGTAGTGTACTTTGTGCTGGTTACTGCAGAGAACCACAGTGGAGTGAGCCGACCAGTTTACAGAGCTGAGAGCCTGCCTGGTAAGTCTCCTCTAGAATCAGAGGCTGTAGTTTTGTAACTTAGAATGGGAGAGACCCCCCCACACACACACACTTTTATCAAATCTATATAAATTTTGAATTAGGAAAGGATTCCCAAGCAAGACCTTTTTAGATGTGCACAGCAAGTCAAAATATAAAAAACTAGGAGAGACTTATCCCTTCTTTTACAATAGTTTTAAAGTAGGTTATTGGCATTTTGTCTCCATTTTTTTTTTCCGACACTCACTAGAATAAACCCTGTGCAGAAGACCAAACATGGACTGTCCATAGGCTTAGGTTTGGAGCCAGTAACATGGCCCCAGGTAGATCCTTTTGAATATCTGGAAATATCATTGAACTCTACAGTAAGGAAACACTGAAGTATGGAAACCCAGTAGCCTTGTTTCTAACCATCCAGTTGCATTTCCCTAATTCAGGAGGTGAATGGATCAAGATTGATGGACCCTCCATTAAGGGTCCAGCATCATTTAATGAAACCGTCACAGGTACTTGCTCCCTTGGTTCATGTCTTCACTGAAGCATCTCCTCTCAAGAGGGCTGTGCTTCTGTCACACACATGTGCTCACAAACCTTCATTCGTGCCCATCGCTAAACTAACACACGTGCCACACAGTCTCAGTCGATTTGTTCTGTGCCTGGTGGACCAGACTGCAGCAGTGTTGCTCATTGCTCATTGTTCCTCTGTGTCCTCGTGGTGGGTGGGTGGGGGAAAGCATCCACATCTACATCTGGGGAGATTGTCGCCCTGTTAACTGGCAAATATGGTGGTCGAGATGGTAGTACTGGCCCGTGGAGAATTTTTACAACTCTTACTCTTGTGAATGGCATAAACAAATGGAACCCACAAAACAGTGGCTTTTATTGGCTAATAGTGGCATCAAGTCTTGCTCTCTTTCCTGACAATCCTTGGATATTTTCTTATGCTTTGGATAACCTGCCTTCCATCTCTGCTCCATATTTGTATATATGTGTGTTGTATCATTTGGATGTTGATGTTGTCTGGTCATATTGTTTTACTTATTGAGAGAAGTGTTGACATTTCTTGTGTGTTGTTTCTTGAATATGTTTAATTGATGGTGAAAAAATAATACACAATGAATACAGTTATTTCACGATGTGGCTGGGTGTTATCCCCAAGACAATATGGTGAGGAATTATGTTTTATTTTCATGCCCCATGTTTTTAAATACATCAGTCTGGTGTTGTTGTGCAGAAAAAGGTGAGTATGTTGAAACTAATGACCATATTATGTTTCTCAAATCTGTTTTGCTGGTGTGGATGGTTGAAAAATCTCATAAGTATAAATGGGGTAGAAGAAGAAAGCAGTCAGCAAAGACAGCTGGCTTTGGGGTGAGGTGATACGTTCTTATTCAGATATGACGAGCTTGAGGTGGCTGTGGGGCGTGGCAGTGGGGAGGTCTTGAAGGTGTTTGGAGTGAGGGAACAGGAGTTGTAAGAAGGAAGTGAGAGCTAGACATGGATTTAGGGTCATGCCATTGGGGGAGACTTGAAAAGCAGAAAGAGTACAGAAGTAAGAGAGGCTGGGAAGAGAGAAGGGCAGGAGGCCAAGGATCGAACTTGGAACTCCCCCTTCACCTGCAGAGGACATGTTCCAAGACCCCAGTGGATACCAGAAACGTAGATAGTACTGAGGTCTATGTATTCCATTTTTTTTTGTCATATGCACATATCAATGACAACTTTAACTTATAAATTAGATGCAATAAGAGGCTAATGACAATAATTAATAATACAACAGCTTTAACAATACACTGTAATAAAAGCCATGTGAATGCAATCTCTTTCTCCCTCCCTCTCTCAAAGTAGTTTTACTGTATTCCCCTTCTTGTGATGATGTGAGATGGCCCAATGCCCACGTGATTAGAGGAGGTAAGGTGAATGGCGAAGGCACCGTGATACAGCCTGAGGCTGTATGCAGGCATTACTTGAACCAAAGCACTGTGGTATTTGTGACAGCCAACCTGACGGTCCAGAACGTAGGGAGGGTAGTGTATACATTATGGATATATACTGGACAAAGGGATGATTCAAGTCCTGGGTGGGATGGAGGGGGATGACCTGAGATTTTGTCACATTGTGTAAAATTGTGTGCAATTTAAAAACTGAATTGCTTCCATTCAATAATTTTGCGCCACAGTTGACTACTGGTAATTAAAACCTGGGAAACAAAACTTTGGATAAGGGGGGTTACTGCATGCTTGCGATGTGTGCAGAATGGGAAAGGATGTTTATTTCAGAGGTACTTACATGTTATCAGACTCACATAAACATTTTACTGATGGATATACATGCCTTGTGTGTGAATCTTTTATTTTGTAATGTAAATAACCATTTTATTTTTACAATCTCTGTGATAAAGTCTTCTTAATGACCTTAGTTTTAGAACAAGTAATTTTCTTGCTTTTTTGTAGGTAATTAATTTCTCTTGCTTTCTTTCCTAGAAATGCATGCGGGTGTATGCATGTGTGTGTATGCGTGCGTGTGTGTGCATGTGTGTGTATGTGTGTGCATGTGTGTGTATGCGTGTGTGTGCATGTGTGTTTGCATGTGACCCTTCTGAATAAGTAAGTGTCGCAGAAATCTTGGGTGTCAGGGATTATAAGAGGATTGGGATGTGGCTCATGGCTGGTTGTATGTCTGATGAGGTTATTTAACCCCTCTGTCTGCAGGAGCCTCCGTGGGCTGTGGTTGCCAGAGCACTCTGCTAGAATACAGGATTCTCCATTTGTTATACAGTATGATAAAAAAGATACTAGGAGAAATTGCTAGCTAAAGCCTCTTGCACATGTTTTAAGGCACAACTTAAAACACAAAACAATCTGCCGATATATGTGATGCATATACTTGGTTAAAGTGCTCCAGGAGAGCACTTTTTCACATTGTTATAGAAAATAACATGATTAATTTATAAAATATATTGATATATTAAATTATCAATGTATTTATACCCTTATTTTTGGAAAAAATGCTGTGCTTTTGTTCTGAGAAACGGTTAAATGTATAATAATTTTTTGAAAGAGAAGTACTCAGAATTGAACTTCTTCATTCAAAGGAAGGGATTTGTCCTGTGTAGCATGAGCACGGGCACCTGGTGTGAGGCCTGGAGGGTTCGTCTGTGTCTGGAACTACAGCCTTTCCTGTTCTTCAGGGCTTTCATTCTGCTAGAAACAGAGGCTTGAGTTCAGACTCCAGAAGGCCCCGTTTGGTTGGCTTGGACCTCTCTGGACTGAATTATCTTTGCCTAAAAATAGGATGTTGATGATTTAACTAATTCCTCTAGTGCCGCGCTTTTCCAAGCACAGGTTCTTCTGCTGGAGATACACAAGAGCAGGACAGACAGGAGCTCACCCGACGGAAACTTATATTTTAACAGGAAAGAACATGGTAAATAAGAAAGCAAAAAATAATGTATATCACCTGTTAGTTTGCTAGGGCAAAAGCGCCCCAGCCTGGGGGCTTAGACAGCAGCAGTTTATCTCGGGGGTTCTGGAGTTGAGCAGTCAACGTGCCTGTGGCAGGATTGGCTTCTCTGAGGCTGCTCTCCTTGGATGAAATGCAGATGGCAACTTCTGGCTGCATCCTTGCGTGGTCCTTCCTCTGTGGGCTGCATGCCCTGGGGCCTCTGTGCATCCAAATCTCCTCTTTTTATAAAGACACCAGTTGTATTAGTGTACCCCAATTGTCTCATTTTGACTCAAATTACCCTTAAAGACCCCATCCTTAATGCAGTCCCCTTTTGAGGTACTGAGGTTAAGACTCCACCATATGAATGGGGGGGAAGGAGACCATTAAACCTAGAATACAATCACAAATTATTTGAAAAATGAACTGCACTGTGATCTAGAACAAAGAAGTGGGGAGCTCTGGGCTTGGGAGCCCAGTGATAAGATGGTGACATCAAGGTGAAACCACGCAGGTGTTTCGTTCCATGAGTAAACACTCTGGGTCACTCCAGGTGAACTGGGCTGCACGAAATAATCACACAGAGACCAAGAAATACCTTTTTCTTTGGGTCCTGTGATAGCTCCTCTGACCTTAAGTGTCTGTGAAAAGAGAGAGAGCCATCGGAATTCTTTATTCTTATGTAGGGAACAGACAAGGGGAGGTTTCATGGAACATTCTATCCCAAAAGGGCAAAGGGGTAGGATTACAAAGGAACAGGTAAGTGTAGCTCAACCCCTCTGGGTGCCGCCTACTCCTAGGGCCACGCCTTGTTAGATTTGTTATCCGAAGGGAAAAGCCTGAGTCCTGAGTCATGGCACTACCATGCCAGACTACAGTGATCTTTCAGATCCTGGTGGTGCTTCAGGACTTAAAAGTGTGTGCATTTGGAGGGGCTCCCCACGTGCAGGGATTTTCATGATGAATCTTGTGAGGAAGAGGAAAGAACATACTAGAGAGTTCTGGAAGGTTCACAGGATATCAGTGACTCTCAGATTGGTCACTTGTCCAAATAGAAAAACTCTCAGGACTTAGAAATGAGATGAAGCAAAACTGCCACTGCAGGGCAGACGTTTGGGTTTCCTGCAGAGCGCCGCACCCTGTCCCCGTCGGGAAGTTTCTCCCTCTTGTTGGGATGTAGACCCATATCCTTGTGCTGACATGGGGAGAAGATGACACACTGCTCACTTACGGGAATACTAGTATCCAGCATTTCTGTAGACTTCTTTTTCTGTGAGCTGTTTAACTTTTTTTCTGTGGCTGCATTTGGGGCAACGGGGCCAGGCAGAGCCAGGACCCAGGGGTCAGGATGGGGACATGTCCCAACTTTGCTACTGACTAGCCTACAGATTTGGCTGGGCCAGCTCTTCTGCGTTTGCCAAAATTTTCATGTTGGAAACCATGTTAGACTCTGGTTAATTTTAGCTCTTAATATACTCAGATCTATTTTTAATGATTTTTATAATTTTCTAAAGATCTAGTCTTCTGTGCTTTTCTCGAACTGTGGAGGTAACCCCGTCTAGCACTAAAACAAAAGACTGCTTTTTGCTTTTTGTTTCTTGACATTTTATTTTAGTTCATGAAGGCTGCTGTCTTCCTGGGCATTAAGTAGCACTTGGACTCAGGATGAGTGGAGAGTCCAGAGCTCTTCCCTGGCCCTTTCCTGCCAGCTCCTGGGTGCTGTGCACCTATGGTCCAGGTACTCCCTCCTTATGCACCACCCCTGGCCTCCACCTGCGCCCTGACTACAGCTGCACTTGGCTTGTGATGTGTTTCTCCACCAGGCATTTGGGCCATGTCTGTCTCCACGATAACGGCCTATTTGATCTTCCCACCTCCTGCTGTCTAATGACCACCTCCTGCCATAGAGTCCAGAGTCAGGGACCGAGTTGTTCCCTCCACCATCTGGAATCCTGAATGCCACTGTCTGATGACAGCCATGTCCCTTCTTCCGTCTCTTGCTGGCCTTGCTTGCAGGCCTTGTCAGACTCTGGATCTGCAGTCCCCAGAAGGCCAACTTCAT